TATAGATAGCAAGATTAGCATCAAATCCTTCTGACTTCATTCGTGTAAATATTTTTTCCATTGCGTTTGTATCATTAACCTTTATGAATAATTCAAGCAACGAAGTATAAGTATCAAAATCAGGTAGAATTCCAACGCTTTTCATCCTGGTCACAAGTGAAAGAGTTGAATTAACTTTTCCAAGTCTTGCATATTGCTGAATTAATTTATTGAAAAATCTAATATCCAAGTTATATCCTCTTTTTATCAATCCAATAAGAAAATCGTAAGCTTTCTCTAGACTTATAGTTTCTAGATATAAATCAGAAATTATACCTAATGCTTCTTGATTTAAGATCAATTTTGAAGAGACCAATTCATCGATCATGTCCAATGCTTCTTTTTCATGATTTGCCTTTTTCATTTCATTGATAATCTTCAAAAAATCATCAAGTTCCAGCTGCATGTTCACTGCTTTCATGTTTACATATAATTCAAGAGCCTCATTGAATTTTCCAATTTTAGCAAATTCTACGCATATTTCTCTCGCTAGAACAGAATTCACAAGTTGGCGAATTACTAATTGATCAAACCACGATGAGGATCCATTTCCCATATTATTCAAAACAACTTTTCTTAAGGCCTTGTCTGTATTTACATCGGCGAGAATCTCTTTGCTTTTCATTATTTTTAGAATCTCTTCTACTTGGTTAAGATCTTTTTCTTTTCCATAAGCTTCAATCATCAAATTAGCTGCCTTAGTAAATGGATTATCAGATTGTGTTTCAACCTTAGCTTTATGAATTTCGTCGAATAATGTCCGGGCATCTTTCAAGTTTCCATTGCACAAATATATTTCTATTACTATATTTTTTTCATCCTGCCAGATTGAATATTTGCATAATTTCATGTCTTCGAGAACTTTGGATATTCTTTGGGGGGCCAAATCTGAATTATAATTTTTTAAAATTTGATTTATAATTGCAATAAAATTTTCCCTCTTCAATAATGTGATCTTACTGGTCGCTTCTAATTGCAAATAAGTTGACCAGATTTCTTCAATATTCGCTTCATCCTGAAGTTGTCGCTCTATTAGAACTTCGGGTGGTAACATCGGTTTGATATCGTTCTTTCGAGATAATAAAGACGATTTTTTTCTGTTGAGGTCGTTAATGTCCATTTTTTCCTGTGAAGATGACGAGACTCTGCTTTCCCTGACGCTCTTTTTTGTCTGAGATTTTTTAGGTAATGGAGGCTCTTTAATATCCTGTGGAAGCGGAAGTGTAGCCCGAACACTGCTGCTTTCTTCGATGCGCTTCTCAACGGGTGATTTTTTATCTGACGGACGCTCGTTATTTTTCTGTGGAGACGGAGGTGTAGCTTGATCAATGATACTTTCCTTTATATCCTTCTTTATTGATGATTTTTTATTTGATGAAGGCTTGTTTTCAAACGGAGACGAGGACATAGCTTGAACGATGTTGGTATTTGATGGTGGCTCATAATTTTTCTGTGGAGACGGAGGCGTAACTTGGTCAATGACACTTTCCTTTACATCTTTCTTTTTTGACACTTTTTTATTTGATGAGTGCGCGTTATTTTCCTGTAGAGACGGAGGCGTGGCTTGATCAATACTGCTTTTCTTTAATCGTGATTTAGTTAACGAAGTCTCAGTATCCTGTTGTAATGTTTGTGTTGGAGACGTGGCTTGATCAATAATATCTTTCTTTACGCGCTTTTTAGCGGGTGATTTGTTCTTTGATGAAGGCTCCTTGTGATTCTGTTGAGTTAAAGGGGAGGTTTGATCGCCACTGGTATTTTTCCCGCGCTTTTTCGAGGCCTTTTTACTAACTATAGGTTCTACATTTGTCTGTTGAGATGTAGGACTTTCTTTATTAACCTCTTTAT